TGTTTCATGCTCTTGCAATCATCAGACAACTAGAACACAAATGAAAGAAGGGAGGAGAATCCAGTTTTGTATAGTGATGACCATAACACACATACCCTAAAGCATCATGGGAAAAAAAAAATAATTTTATTTATAAAACCCACAGATAATCCTTAACACATGGAGAGGGAAAAGGAAATATGTAAAGAAAAAACCTCCGTGGCTGGGTCTAACTAGTTATGGTGACTGAACTATAAGGGAGTGGGGATGTCAGAGAAATATATATATATATATATATATATATATATATATATATAGTGCACAGTGTGTTCTGGTGGTAATAAAATAGTGCTCGATGTAAAAGAATAGCACTAAAATTTATGCTAATAATAAATATACATATTGTCCTTCACCATTTGTCCATCTCTGAGTTCCATGCACATAGCAATTGTCAGGTATGGGTTGAAAATTCATTTTTCAATTCTAGTTTTAGACTTATTGAACCCTAATGAGTGATAAGTCTGCAAAAGAAAGTGGGGATCCAGTTTTATATGTCAATGACTGTAACACACCTATCCTAAAGCATCATGGGAAAAAAAAATAAAAATAATTTCTTTGCATGACTGCTTGCCTTTAGACATGCTAAATTTTAGCAATTCACATGTTTTCATGGGGCATAATAGATATATAAGAAAGAAAGAGATCTTTTCCATCAACACTATTTGACACCTATTTTCATCAGGTGGACACCCATTTTCATCAGGTGGACACCCATTTTCATCAGGTGGACACCCATTTTCATCAGGTGAACACCCATCTCTATCCTCAATGTTTGGTTTTTCATTAGTTTTCAATCTAATTCTTGGCACAGTTTTCCTCACTTTCCCAAGTTATCACTTGATGCTGACTGCAAGTCACTCTCAGGTGAGTTACATTCTTATTCATCCTCTTCATCTGATGAACCATCAAGTAAATCCAACACCTGCTGAGCATTTATTGGCTGCCATTTTAGTCCATTCCACCAAGAACAGCTGGACTGGTCAGTCTCTCATTTCATGATTTAAATCTTATACAAGCACACACATGAAAATAAACACTGTTTACTGACATTTGTAGTTAACACAAGTGTATTACTCTACACTGATCTCATTGGTGCACAGACTAAGCTACAAAGGACAGGAAAGTGTAGAGAGCCATGATCGACTACCTCTTGAAGGGACATGTCACATACAAGAAGTAGAAGTGCATCATCAAAATGTGAAGGTGGCATAATGGTTATCAGAGTATAAAATGGACACCAATGAGCAGAGTTCAAATTCCAGCCTAGTTTGTTGAATTTACTTCAAACTAATGTTCTATGAAAATGCATGAATACAAAACTTCTTCCTCTCACTATGGGTTAAAGAGCAAGGTAGACTAGGTTCTATAATACTGAATAGTATCCAGTCCAAACAGATTTTCTAAAAAAAAAATAAATAAAAAAAACAAAAAAAAAAACCAACTATACACTCCAATATGTTTCCCTAGAAGTCATAGTAATTCATAAATACAAAAAAAAAAAAAAAAAGAAAGAATCTGTTTCAAGCTATCATTGTTGACATCCTCAAGGGATGTAGCATTTTTACCAGGATTTAGTATCAGTGGGCACAATCTTAATAACATCAGATATGCAGATGACACTGTTGATGACAGACACAGAAAGGAAACTAAAGGAACTCTGAGACAATGTAATAAAGGAGAGCAAGTAGAAAGAGTAACGATCACCATGATCAAGTGTAAGAAAACAGAATGTATGGTTGTCAACAACAGAAAAAATCTTAGCTACAAGCTGTAGATGTCAAAAACAAATAGCTACAAAAGTACAATTATCTGAGAAGATGTATTAGAATAACAAAAGGTGACTTCCAAAAGCTAAGCAAAGTAATAAGAAACAGGACAATGTCATTAGAAACAAGGAAAATAGTGCTGAACTGCTATGTATTATTAATCCTCCTATATTAGCAGTGAATGCTGGACAATTACCTCACAAATGAAGAGGAGACTTAAAGCAAGAGAAACAAAGAAAAGAATGCTGAACTGCTATGTAATATCAATCCTCCTATATTGGTAGTGAATGCTGGACAATTTCCTCACACATGAAGAGGAGACTTGAAGAGAGAGAAACAAAGAAAAGAGTGCTGAACTGCTATGTAATATCAATCGTCCTATATGGCAGTGAATGCTGGACAATTACCTCACAGATGAAGAGGAGACTTGAAGCAAGAGAAACAAAGAAAAGATTCTGATGCAAATATAGATTTCTTTTCCCTATTAACATAAATTTCTGTGTTATGTATATTTACATCATTCAGACTGTTGTCCTCATTTTTATTGTCATATTCACAACGTTTTAGTCATTGTATGCTCCGATCTTCTTCACGTGGTATATGTTGAAATTTCAAACCAAAACATTTATTTAGTCTAAGGGGGTAGACTTTTCTAATTCTATCTTTTCTGGATATCTCAGTTTCAGTTAATTCTCTTTAGTAACTCAACTCTCTAAGTTTTTGTTCCCTCTGTTGTGGCCAGGTATTGAACTCACAATTTTTTGGCTCAAGTGACATTTTGGATTACTTCAACCAATGCTTTTATCCACCGAGTCATGTGTCCCCATGGATAAATGGCCCAGTGGACTAAAGGGTTCCATGGACTAAATAAAGGGTTTGGTTTGAAATTCTGACATATATCACCTGAAGAAGGCCAGAGCATACAACGGCTGAAACGTTGTGAATATGGCAATAAAGATGAAGACAACAGTCCAAACAATTTAAATAGTGTAAATGACTTCAATACCTCGTCTCAGAAATATAGACAGATAGTGATGTTTTTTGTTTAAAACATTCCAACATCCTTGTAATTTATTTAAGAACTGGTTTATAAAATTCAATTTGTTCAAAACCAAACTAGCAACATTTCACCACCACTGCATGCACTCTGAACTTTCAACTATCATGATGGATGGGTGTTCTGACAAGGAGGATCCATGCCTTGAATATCTATTGGGACTCAAGCTCACCACAATCCACAAGTGGAACTCATATATCCAATCTATTGCTAAACATGCTGGGGAATATGATTTATTCATTGTACCACTCCAGTAAGTATCCGACTCCTATACTCTATCTTTACAAGAGCCATATCAAACTAAATATGGAATATTGCTGCCATATCTAGGCTGGAGCTTCCCAGCCCTCACTTGCCTGCTTTGATAGAGTTCAAAAACATCTATGTGGCCTTGTAGGTGATTAATTATTTTTCACCCTACAACTCCTTTTCCACAGATGAAAAGTCACAAGCTTCTGGCTATGCTATCACTATTTCCATGTCAAGTGTTCTGACGAACTACATTCCTTAGTCCAACCAGCTCTGATCTTTGGAGCTGCCATACCACATACACAAGGATGAGTTATCCCGATTTCCTTCATATTCCATAAGTAAGGAGGAAGTTCTACTTGGACAACTTCTTCCCAAGAACTGTTGCTTTTTGGAACAATCTCTACAATCTGAACATTTTCAAATCTAGAGTTAACCATTATTTTTCTTAAATAACCCCATGAACCTCACATCTTGCCTTTTCTTATTCTCATACAACACCATACATCAACCCATTGCAGATTATTTACAGCCAGAAAAGATTGTAAGAATTTTTTTTAGATAATGATGACTGCTAAAAGTCCTAATTAACCAATAGCAGGTGGGGTATAGAGAAGAGATGGATTCATACCTTTCCAAATGGTATTTGCACATAAGTGAATATAATGAACCCAACTGGAATTAAAACTCAGCTCTCCGATTAACAATTCTGAGCCATTATTCATGATGTCACCCTCACATTCAAGCTTACAGCACCTGGTATTCCCAAGTGTTCACCCATCAAGGTACTGACCAAGTTCAATGTTACTTAACTTAGTGATCGTACAAGAATCAGTGTTTCAATGTCATTTGGTTGTAAGCCATGTAAAATGATGACACCTTGCCACCAATCTAGTACTGTGCTTAAATTCATTAAGTCCAGGTAGCATAGAGGAAAGTTCATCATCAGAACAAATACCATGAAACTATTTATAGAAAAGGCACTGTAGAATAACAATAATAAACAGCACTTACCGGTGTAAAGGTCCCAGCTAGTGTCCAGCTGGCAGACAAAGATAAAGCAGGTTGTAGCTTAATACAAACCCTGCAAACTAACAGATGAATCAAGCTGGTATTTATATAGAAATACCTCCACTCAGGTACCAGCAGCCAATCACAGCCCAAGCAATGGACTATCCCACTTTAGCACAATGAGATGCTCTATGGCAACATAAATAGCTCTCTTTCTAAAGGTTGGATTATTGTTCACTTAGCTTGCTCCACAACTAAGTGTTTATCTCTACCACGTGATTTTTCTACAGGCACAAGAAAGATACATTATGATGTTCGGAAAGTGTCTGAAGCTGAGATACCAGGTCATGACCAATGACATTGCAGAATCTTTGGATTTCTAAATATCCTAAATAAGATTTCTAAATATATAGCAGCAACACCAGAGCAGATGTGGCATTAATATTCAATGCATCTGTTCTTTCTTATTTTAAAGTTTTAAACAGAATATTATAGGAAATAGAGAGTAAAAACTTTCTGTTTTCTAAAGGAGATATCTTCTTTTCATGTCTATCCTTAGAGGTTTGCTGATGGCCTCTTATTTACAGTATTGAATTATTTAGTGACCAACATCACTTATCATCTGCGGTTATATTGTATTTTGAGATAAGAACCAAAAAGAGAATGGTGGTTCAACTCCATCTTCAATGAATTCAGTACAGCTATTCAATATATTTGCTAGACTTTGGTCAAATTGATTTTTGTCCTCGGATAAGGGTTCTTTAAAATGGAAACAATTGCAATTGCTCCCATTTCTTTTTATACTATTTGATATATTTGTAGCTATTGCCAAGTGGTGGGGTTAAAAATAAATTGAACTCTTTTAGGTTCCAACTTTGTTATCCCAACAAATGAAGTATGTATCTATATGAGGCACTGTCTGGTGAGGTGGTACTGAGAAAGGAGAGGGAGAAATGAAAAAGAAGATGGAAGAAAGAGAGAAAGAGGGGAAAGCAAAAAGAGAGAAAGAGGGAAAAGCAGAAAGGGAGAGGGTGGGAAAAGCAGAAAGGGAGAGGGTGGGAAAAACAGAAAGGGAGAGGGTGGGAAAAACAGAAAGGGAGAGGGTGGGAAAAGGAGAAAAAGGGGAAAAGGAGAAAAAGGGGAAAAGGAGAGGCAGAAAAGAGAGAGAGAGAGAATGGGAGAGAAGAGAGAAAGAGAATGGGAGAGAAGAGAGAAAGAGAATGGAGAGAAGAGAGAAAGAGAATGGAGAGAAAAGAGAGAGAATGGAGAGAAAAGAGAAAAGGAGAGAAAAGAGAAAAGGAGAGAAGAGGAGAGAAAATGGAAGAGAGAGAGAAGGGAAGAGAGAGAGAAGGGAAGAGAGAGAGAAGGGAAGAGAGAGAGAAAGAGAGAAAAAGGGAAAGAGAGAGAGAAAAAGGGAAAGAGAGAGAGAAAAAGGGAAAGAGAGAGAGAGAGAGAGAAAGGAGAAAGAGGTAAAAAGAAAGAGTAAGAAAAAGTAACAGAAATACAAGCAAGTTATTGTTCAGCTGACTTTTAATAATTGAATGCAAACTGGAATTGAAACGAGGCTCTTCGATTTCCAATTCCATGCCATTACGCATTACACCACCCACACATCCAAGCTTAAAGGAGCTGGTATTCCCAAGCAGTCACCCCTCTGGTTACTGACCAGGTTTGATGTTGCTTAACTTCAGTGATTCCATGAATCACAAATAAATGACAAAGATGAAGATTTTATTGGTGTACTTAAAGCAAAAAATAAATAAATAAATAAATAAAAGGGGCTAAAAAGAGAATTATGAAATATGATGATTTACTAAACATAGCTTAGATGTGGCACAAGGCTGAAAGTATGGAGCAGCCAATGAGAGTCAAACTCCCTATTCAGTTGTTCTAGCAAGACAAGTTTGCTAACCATTACATTACGCTGAGGTGCTCAAGAGAATTATGAAACTAATATAGACTAACATAGACACCGGCATCTCTTCCAAAGACTCCTTTTCTTTATTATCAGTGAACTGCAATGACTTCTTGGAAAACTTAGTGAAAGGTTTCCCCATTGTCTTCTTCATGGTTTGGAATTCACTGCAATCTTTTTGCATTCAGGACATAGGTGATCATGGCTCTCCACACACTCTTTTTCTTTATTATCTGTGAATTGCCATGCCTTCTTTATTGTTTTGTATTCAGACCAATTTTTCTCCTCTCAGAATGTAGGTGATTATGGCTCTCCACACATTCCTTTTCTTTATTATCTATGAATTGTCATGCATTCCTAGGAAAGATACATTGCCTTCTTTACAGTTTGGAAATCAGAATTTTCTTGGAAAAGATAGATTGACTTCTCCATGATTTGGAATTCAGAGTTTTTTTTTCTCTTAGACTTAGTGCTACCAAAGACTAGAGAGCTCTGTATATTCTACTATTTAACCTACAGTTGGGGGAGAATACACAGATTCATGCCTTTCCCAATGTCATATATGCAAAAGTTAACTCAAAAGGCAAGTTTCACGAATTCCACTTTTTAACACAATATAGATTACACTATCCACAGATCTCCATGTTCAAAGATGGTATTCCTAAAGTTAGAGTGAAAACAATGGTTATAGCAAAAACCAGTGGGTAAAAAGTATTTTAAATTTCATCTGAAAGAAAAATAAGTAAATAAGTATCTTACTCTCTCTAAATACACACACACACACACACACACACACACACACACACACACATTCTCATTGTGAACAATGAAAACAAAGAAAAAAAAAAAAGGAAGATTTATTGCCACAGCAAAACTAGAAGGCAATGCTGAAAAGTTCACGGCTTGACCTACTTCTGAAAATCTAATCATGTGACCAAACATCATAAATTTATTTTTCTTCCAGTATCTCCTTGGAAACTTGCTTTGATCTCCCATAGAATCCATCAAATAGGTCCTTGACAATTTAATGAAACATGATAGAGATTACATTAAGAGGGAAGAATATTGAGAAATATGAAATCCCAATGACTTACAAAAAAAATAAAAAAGAACCTTGTCAAATAGAATAAACTGAAGTGGAGGAAAATATCAAATTTTTTTACCCTGACCAACCTCTATATAGGATCATAGATAAAGTCGTTAGGACATGGACAAGAATTAACTGTTGGAACGAGAAAGATGGGAGTACTCCATCTCCAAAGTGGAAAGTGCTTTAAATTCTTTTTTCACAGGCATCAGTAACATGAGTACAGTAGGAATATGGAAATTCTTGACAGATATTAGCAGTATGTGAAATCTGAGAGCACACATGTAATGCAAAAAACAGGACAACAGTAGTGCACATAATGTATCAGATCACATCTCAATTCAATGCTCATGCTGTACAACTGTTATAGTGGAACACACCTATTCTATAGTTAATAGACTCTCCCACCTATAAGTAGGAGTAGTAGAAGTCGCCCAGTGAGTTGGTCAGTCAGTCGATGCCAGACAACCGTTAGTCAGATATTAAAGTATCAGCCACCACAACTAGATTACTGCGTCATTACCTATTATATCAAGTTCCTAACATTTTGTACGTCGAACCTATTTTAGGACCGACTTAGTACAAATACAAGCCTCCACTGTGAAACCACTCTACAACAACAACCCATCAATTAACACAGTACACAGTACACATTGATTTCCTTAAAACTGTTTGAAGCTGTATACAACCACTTTCTAAGATCAAGGCTTTAAAATTGCTTTGAGCAAGTGAAGTCCATCCTTCTTTAAACATTATGGACTGAAGCTAGAGAACCATAGCAGATAACAAAAATGACATCACTTGAGGACTTTCAACAGTGGTAAAACTAAAATGGATATCAGATATAACTCTGAAAAAAAAAATGACAATCAACATGTTGATTTTCTACACAACTTCAAATCAAAGGCTAGGAAGGAAATATGGGAAAGAGCTATAACAGCTACTGGATTTGAGAAACCTATTTTCATGAAAAATTGTTGTAAGGGAAAGATTTTATAAATTTCAACAAACAACTAAGGGGAGTTTAACCCAACATCACAAATTGCTACAAAAAAATGTTCTTAAATACATAAAACTGCTTTTTCAAATCAATGGTTAAAAATTGCTTCAAGCAAATGAAGCCTGTAGTTCTTAGCATGGGCCTTTTAACTTTGAACCTTGTGGACTTAGCATTGCCATTAGAAATACAGATACTATAATTTGATCCCAGGGAGTAAAGAAAAGCATAACTCAAGTACCACTAGCTGCTTGGTCAATGAATGCCAAATGTTTCCTTATAAGGAAACAGCTAATATTACCATCATTGACCAAGAAGGGTATCATTATTGCTTGCAGCATTTATTACTTCTCACCTGTGCCAGACAACATTGCCATTTTACTGAAGAAGACTGATATTTTGTTTCTCTCAGAATTTCTGAGATGTGGAGTAGATAAATATGCCTATCACCTAGTTCACACTACTTCTCGGTCTACTGAATGGGAGTAGAGGTTTATCCTTTATTTCCAGTTCCTTCTAAATTCTATTTTAACCTTATACATCTAATATCTGAAATTTATTTACTACTTCTTTTTTATTTTTTTTTCTTCAATAGGAGTAGAGGTTTATCCCTTATTTCTTCTTTAGGATTAGGTTTCTGGTTCCTTCTAAAGTCATATTCTCTTTCACTCCGAGTAATTCTATACGTCTTAGTGGCATTAATGCCTTGTTTGAGATGAAAATGATTTTAAGAAAAAAAAAAAAAAAAAAAGGTAGTAGGCTTATTGAATTTGACATATAAAAAAAAACATTCAGATTATTTAAATATTGTTTCTAGATATATTAAATAAAATATTATTTTTCTTGTCCTAACAAAGCATTCCTTATGACTTTTCTTACTACAACCATGTTTTTAGTAATCAAAATTATGTACAAGTAAAAAAGAAAAAAAAAAAAATATTGTATTTGAATAAGAACCAATTCAGTTCTTTTAAACCTACTTGAAGAAGGTATCTAAATTTGGCATTTTTTATTTTGCTAAAATAAGCTTTCTTTTTATATTTTTTGTCATAGAATTTCCTGATTTTTATTTAATGGTAAAACTGGCTGCCTATTTTTCTTTTTTGACTGTTTTTGCTAAGATCAACCCAAAAGAAATCTTTGACCAAATTTCGGTGCTACTTAAGTATGTGATCTACCTTCAGAGTGATCTACCAGAGTTATTATTATTTACATTTGGACTAATGTCTTATTCTTTATTGTTATCATCCCAACATTTCAGCCAATGTGCTTGCTGATATAGGTAACCCGCAGGGAATTTTGAATCCAAATCTTTATTTAATCTATGGAGGTAGAACATGGAATAAGAACAAGTAGATCTGTAGATTAAATAAAAGGATGAGTTCAAAATTCTGGCTACCCAGATCAATAGACACCTGAAGAAAGCCGTCAGGCATAACAGTTGAAAGGTTGAGATAATAACACCAAAATTAATGACATTAACCTGAATGTAAATACTGTATGGGAGGTATCACTAAATTTCCTGCAGCTACACCCTACAAATACAATTTGGTTATGGACAACCTTGGAATGTGGTGATATAACAACACAATGACTCATGTAGTCATTCTAATTCAAAAGAGCCTATCTTTTACTAATTTGGCAGTCTAATAGACTGGCATTTTGATTTAAATGAATAATAATTTTAATAGGTGTACTGATCCGTATCTTCCTAATGCCATTTTAAACTGACACCTTTTTTTACATACTAGAATTTTTTTGCAAAACATTGACATGTTATTGCTAACATTTTTGTCAAGATTTACAAAGTCTACGCTTCATTCAATTTCAAAAATCAATTGATGAAATTTGAATAAGCTGATTTGTTAGGAAAAATACTTTGACAGAAACCCTACTTCTTCGTTTAATAATTAAATTAATTTTATAGGAATTCATGGTAAACACTTTGGCAATCATGTGGACCTCTGTTTTACTGCATGGGAAAAAGTATTTTTAAGCTTTGCTTAACTGGAAGGTCTCTATGGCTGAACAGTCATAGCATGCCAGACTTAATAGTGGTTCAATATAAGGATACAGGTTGAATTCCTGTTGGAGAACACATATTTTCTGCAAAATTTCTCAGACAGAGCATTTACTCAAATAAGTGTATCCATAAAATAATATATACATTATATATATATATATATATATATATATATATATATATATATATACATGGGAGGAGTGAAGGGAAGACAAGAAAGTGAAAGGGAGAGAGAAGAGTGTGTGGAGAGAGAAGAGTGTGGGAGAGAGAAGAGTGTGGGAGAGAAGAGGGGGAGAGAAAGAGAGAAAGGGGAAGAGAAAGAGAGAAAGGGGAAGAGAAAGAGAGAAAGGGAAGAGAAGAGAGAAAGGGAAGAGAAGGGGAAGAGAAAGAGAAAGGGGAAGAGAGAAGGGGGGAGAGAGAGAGAGAGAAGGGGGGAAGAGAGAGAGAAGGGGGAAGAGAAAGAAGAGAAGGGGAAGAGAAAGAGAGAGAAGTGGGGAAGAGAAAGAGAGAGGATTTTGTTAGTACAAGGTTCTGGGAGTTTAAGCAGTTGGATCAATCTGTTCATCTGTCAAGTTAGCCAGTATTTCCCAGGTCTTGTCATGCACATCACACATTTCTAGAGATTACTCATCCAGGGAATTAAAAGTCTCATTTTCTATTAATCTTTCCCCAAAGAAATCATGTCTCAAGCATTTTGGAAAAAATCTTTACATATATAATATCTGTATACTGGTCAAGACACCATTGCCCTATCCTGTAGACTATTTGTCTTGATATGGATGGACATGCAACAGCATGCTTTTATTAGTATATACCAAATATTTATTTTGTCTAAAATACAGTTGACTTACAGCCATATCATGTTGAAACATCAATTTCGATACAACCACGGAAGCTAAACAACATTGAACCTGATCAGTTACTGCTTGAAAATACCAAATGTTGTAAGCTTTGATGTGCATATAATGCAAGTGATAACAGATTGTAATTGGAAATTGGAGTGTTCCAATTCCAGTCAGGTTCATTATATGCACAAATACTCTTGGGAAAGATAAATCCACCACTACACTCCCCATCTATTGGTTAAGTAGCTGGACTTATATCAGTAAATCATTATCACTCCAAAATTCTTAGGAACTAAAAATGTTTTCTGTCTTTAAATAACTTGCAAAAGGTTGATAAACTGTAAAAAACAAATCAATCAATCATAAAATAAAGATAATAGATGTAAACTTCAAAGGGCCCTAGTGAGAGATACGCAGTTCTTAAATAGGTAATAGAATCTTGCTTTATCATGAGCGTTTTCTATTACCTAATTGGTAGAGTACACTTTCAGTAAAAAATGTGACATATGCACATATATACTCAGTCTTACAATGTTTTACTGCAATATATATATATATATATACACACACACACACACTTGTAATATTTTATTGCGATACACATGTACGTACAGGTTAGTGTGTTTGTGTTTATTTATATATATATATATTAGTGTTTATATATATATATATATATACACACACACACACACACAGGGTGTCCCAAAATAATGTATGCACACTTTGAATCATTATAACTTATTCAATTTATGTATTTTGACTTGTAAATACAATTAATACAAGAGAAAGAATACACATTTAAAGAATTTGAGAGTAGAATATACAAAAAACATAGAAAATTAACTTTAATAAGATTAAAATCTACTTGGGGCAATGGCAGAATGTTCATATAATGATGAGTTCACATCAAGTGCTCAAACTGGTTGCCATTCTGTTCAATACACTTTTCATATCTTGAAGAAATAGACCTACAAATGTCCAGTATCATTTCCTCTGGTATTTGAGCACGTTCTTTTTCAATTGCTACTCTCATTTCAGCAATTGTTTCAAGTTTCCTGCTGTAGACTGTCTTTTAGAAACCCACACAAAAAGAAATGCAAGGGTGTCAAATCTGGTGATCTAGGTGGGTGAATAGGTGGGTCCCTCTGGGTGATCTAGGTGGGTGAATCTAGTGGGTCCCTCTTCTTCCATTCCATCTGTTTTGCATATTTTCATCTATATAATTTCTCACATCACAGTAATGTATTATTAACTAGTAATATTTAAAGAGTGTATACATTTTGGGACACCCTGTATATATATATTAGTGTTTATATATAGTAGTGGTTATATATATATATATAGTGACTGTCACTTCTTGACAGAAGACCATCTCCACAACAATTTTTTCTTTTTTTGTCATATAACTTTCAGATTCATTGTTCATGAGCCTTACTTTTACAAGCTTTTGTGCAAATGTTGCACTTGAAAGGGAGATCCCCAAGCCCAACAGGCATGGCATCAACATGAATTTTCACATGTCTTGCTAATCCAGAAGCTGACTTGCATACTTTATGGCAGAGTGTACAAGAAGGCACAAGGATTGATTACTGGCTTCTTTCAATGGATTGAGCCTGATGAGACCGAAGGTGACTTTGAAGACCTGACAATAAAAGAGCAAAATCTATAATATATAATCTACATACATGTTGTAAGTTTAGGGTGAAAGGTAGCACTTCAAGATTACCTTTCTTTAGCATGTTACACCGTGACCTTTTCAAACTGGTTAGAATCTTGACGAACTGTTGTTCTCCATATAGATCAACATTACCATGTAATAACTGATATCCCAAGAGCTTTTAGATTGGTTTTGATGCAATCTTTAAAGACCTTTTTAAATTTGTGTCTGGGACACTTGCCTGCAGATAGTTCACCATAAAAGGCACATTTAGGCAACCTTGAATCATCCATGCACACCAAATGACCTGCCCAGCACATTGAGAATGATTAGGGGGGATATTAGCTTTCTCCAGAATTTCTGTGTCAAGTACAAAAGACTGCCTTGAAATTCATGATTCTTCTGAGGAACTTCTGGTGTACTCTTTCTGTATGTTGTCCATGTTTCTGAAGAATACAAAAAGGCAGTCAAAACACACGACTCATAAACCTTTACTTTGATGTTAAGTGTGATGTTTCTGTCAGACCACACCCGCTTCTCCAAGCATGCAAAAGATTTAGTAGCTCTCTCAATGCAGTGAAGTATTTCAACATCCAATCTCCCATCTGTGAGAGCGTGCTTCCAAGGTATACAAAGTTATCCACCACATCCAGCCTCCTACTATCCACAATTATTTTTGGTTCACGATATGGTTGACCAGGAGGTGGTGTGAACATTCCCTTGGTCTTCCTCAAACTGATAGTAAGCCCAAAAGACTTACATGCATCAGCAAAAAGATTCATGATGGTTTGCATATCTTCTTCGGTATGAGCCATGAGATCAGCATCATCAGCATAAAGAAGCTCACAAATAACTTTGCTGAAACACCTTTGTGGAAACACTAAATTGTTGCAGGTCAAAAACTTCCCCGGTAGTTCGGAAACAGAAATAAACACCAATGCTACAGTTTCTAAAGGTATGTGTGAGCATCACTTTAAAAAAGATGGAAAATAAAGTAGATGCTAGTATATCATCCTGCTTCACACAATTCTTAACAGAAATTGGTTCAGACAGATTACCACTGACATTCAACCTGGCTTTCATGTTGCTTTGAAACTCTTTAAGCAGCCTGACAAATTCAGGTGGGCAACCTAGTTTTCTTAGAATTGTCCACAAGGCATTCCTATTCACAGTGTCAAATGCCTTTGTTAGGTCAACACACACACACACATATATATATATAAATATATATATACATACATATATACATATATATACTTGCAGGATCAGAAGACTTCTTTTCCATACTGCAGAGAGCCTGGACCAAACACCATCTTAACATTTCTGAGGCAGGTTTAATCAACATGCATTGTCTGGCTCTGTGTAAACAGAGAAAACTTAAACATCAATTGGCACTTTTTGGCAAGTCTCTGATTCATTCTGGTTGAACTTTAAACAAAATTCCCCCCCACCTCCTAGTCTTTTAAGATCTGTTGCAAGGAGATTTTCCCTTTCCATAGTTTAATTTTAATTCTGACGAAGCATCAGATAAAAGGTGCCTGATGTTTTTCTATTTTAATAGAGACAATACTTTTGTACCTGAATTTGATCAACAAAATATTCTCCATTATATATATATATATATATATATATATATATATATATATATATAAGTTAGTGTGTATATCTTCTGTTGCCTTGATCCCTGTCCTTTTTTTTTTTTTTTTTCCTTAATCCCTTCCCCCATTCCCAGTCTTTTAAACACTCTGTAGATACTCGCATACTAGTGGCACTCCAGCCTTGTTTGGTGCGAATTGCTTAAAAAAAAAAAAAAAGATGTTACTTGAAAGTGGTTCCAGTAAACGAGAAACATGGGAATTAGCCACAGTTTCATAAACAAGCAAAAAAAAAAAAAAAACTGTAACAATTGTCAAAGTAGTAGATTTAAAAAAAAAAAAAAAAAAAAAAAAGTGAACATTGGAAAATTTAATGATTATCTAAAACAATTAAGTTGGAAATTTGAAATCTTAAAAAAGTTGGAGAGACATTCTGGATGTTATTCAGCAAAAATTATTTAAAAGAATTTTAGATACCTAAATAACCCCTATTTAAAATGTGTATGTATGTGAGTGAGAGAAAGCGAGTGAAAGCGAGTGAAAGTAAGAAAAAGAGAGTGAGAGAGAGTGTGTGAGAGAGAGAGTGTGTGAGAGAGAGAGTGTGTGAGAGAGAGAGTGTGAGAGAGAGTGAGAGTGTGAGAGAGAGTGTGTGAGAGAGTGAGAGAGAGTGAGAGAGAGAGAGAGAGAGTGTGAGAGAGAGAGTGTGAGAGAGAGTGTGTGAGAGAGAGAGTGTGAGAGAGTGTGTGAGAGAGAGAGTGTGAGAGAGTGTGTGAGAGAGAGAGTGTGAGAGAGTGTGTGAGAGAGAGAGAGTGTGAGCGAGAAGAAAAGAGAGAGCGAGAGAGTGCAAGTGATAGAGTGAGAGAGTGCGAGGGAAAGGGATAGAGTAAGAAAGATGAATTCTTTAGTAAGCTAAATAAAGTAGTAATTTTTCTTTTTAAAAGGAAGGATTAGTGTATATATAAGAGGGGAAAATGTCCCTTTAACTTTGAAGCAACGAACAAGACATAAGGGAGGATGTTTGCTTGCTTACAAGTCTGCATAAAAGCAAAATCAGAATTAAACAAGCATGAATCTCATTCACTCTAAGGAGATACTTTTACTAAAATTTTGTTTGGAACCCTGAAATTAGGAAAGGAAAAATGGGTTGACACCTTTTCACTAAATAAGAAAAAAATAAAGCTTTTTTTTTTTCTCCTCTTCTTTGCTTTCATTTATCAATTTCTCTCACCTCACCTTACCTAGCCCCCATCTCCCCACTAATGAAATCAGGCCCCTATAGAATTTTTTGTTTATACAGAGATCCAACCCTCCACCCAACACTCTTTGGTCTTCCCTATTCACAAACCTTAATTTCATAAATAGAAGTAACCCCTTCCACATCACCCTTACTATCTGACCCCTTAAGTCACCACCACTTCCAAAAGAGCCCTACCCCAACACCAAGTCCACTTAATTGGACAAGAGAGACACCTTTCCTGCTAATTCAAACATTGAATTTTTAAACCTCCAAAAAGAGGCCTTTCCTTTCCTGAGTTTTGGAGTTGGGATGGTATGAAACCTGCCCCTTGGCAGGAGGCCCTATTAGGAGAAGCAGTATGTGAATGGGTGGGGCCCATGAAAGATAATGCCTTGGAGTGGATTCCCAGGTTGCTTTACCTCATTCAATGGCACTGGTTAGAAGAATGTTTAAATGGTGACACAAGCTTTGGCAAGTCCAACCCTTACCCCAATATCATCTTGTCTCTCTTTCTCTCTTATGGTTATAGTAAACAAAAAGATAGGAAGAGAATAGGGTTTATGGGAGGAGTAGGAGGATGGTGGCTGTCACTTTTGGGGGTACCCAACCTGGACCCTTCCCCTTCATGGAAGTAGTATTTAGTCCAACCACCAAAGTGGTTTTCCAGAGAGCATCAGGGTCAAGCCTTTCTAATCCACAGCTATCCCTACCCCATATCTAGTTGATCAGAGAAATAAATCATTCCAGTTTACACACACCCTCGCACATACATACATACATCCATAGATAATAAAGTGTTCAAGCCAACACCCCACCCTATATTTTCTTTAATCTTAAATAAGGTATGGCTTAGTAGTATAAGCAGTTAGATTTTATTTTTATTTTTTATTTTATTTTATTTTTTTTTTTACTAATGTTCATCCTATACAAGGCCCTAGAGCCACTCAAAGTAGTTACTTCAGTTACTGAAAGAGGTTCTTGTGTGAATATTAAGAGAGATTATGAGGATACATGAGAAAGATATCTATGGATTTGAACAGGTGTAGTGTTTGGGAAATCATCTTCTTTGTAGTTCGTTACACAAATTAATGGTTTGTGGAAAGCTGTTCAAGTGAAAGTTATTTCTTACTAATAGAATGGATGAAGGTGGCTCACCTCAGTGCCAGCAGCATGGCAGGTTTTAGCGGTGAGTTTTTTGTCAAAATTTGTCCATGGCTACCTTAAAATTTTAAATGCTTACAATCATATACTTTTAAGAATAAGATGGACACATTTTTGTGCTGTAGACAATCCTGAACAATCATCTAAAGATTTGAGGTTGAATCTTGTTCAAATTTCATTATCTATTGAAATTATCATCAGGCCAATGTTTAAATATTGAAATAGGCCTCTACCCCAAGAAAAGCAATTTGGTGTGAGGTGAAAAGAAAGAAAGTGTCAGACATTTTTTTGTTTTTTTTGAGCTGGATTCAAATTCTGGCCCAATGTATTGTATTCATTATAGCACTAATGCCCTGACAAATGTTCAACTATAAATTAAACAAACTTGGTTCTCTGGCCTTGGATGAGGGCTAGTCTGAATTTCTAAATCCCTACAGTTGAAACCACAGAGAAAGCAACAAGAAACTACTTCACCATTGTTACTAAAAAGTTATAGCAATTCAAAGATAAACAAAAGGAATCTGTACAGAGGCATGATTGTCTAGATCCTAAAATGACATAGCATTTTATTTTCATTAACAAAAAAAAAAAAAAAAGTATTAGTTTCTACTTTTCTAAAACAGAATGCTGAGATTTTTTTACACAAACACACACACAATAAATGTGACAAACATCCCAGTTACAAACCTCATTTTCAATTTCTTGGCTATTTCGTCAATTGTGCTCTCCATTACTTACTTATTCAAAATGGTAGCAAATATTCACAAATTTTCTGGAATTTTCAAAATAAACAGTATAACTATGGCAACAAAAACATGCTAGAGAAGTAACAAACGAACAGGTTTGCACCTGATTGTGGTGTAATGATTACTAAACCTGTCTTGTAAATCATTATTACTGAAACTTTAGGTGCTATGTCCCCTCAGGACATAGGCGATCATGGCTCTCCACAACATCCCGTCTTTTGTAACACTTAATAAATGTCTTTATTTCTTATAAAATTGATCTCTCATCCATTTAATCAAGCTCACTAAGTATGTTATATGTTGTTTTCCTGTCCTTGCCTTCAATCTGTCTTCCGAGTATCAAATTTTCCAAGCCCTCTTTCCTCATTATGTGCCCTAAAAATTTCAACTAACTGTTCCTGGTGTTAAATATAAGTTTCCTTTTTGTTTCCATTTTCCATAATTGTAGCCTTGTACCCAAACTAAATTCTCCCAAGTGAATAAAATTCCCACATCAATATTACTATTGAATGATGAGTTCAATTCACAATGGATACTCATGTCCAAATTATAATATATAAAAAAAATTAAAAAATAAAAATAAATTTATGCTAAATTTGAAATTCAGACTGAATTCAGCAAAACTGTATACGATATGATAGACAAAATATTGATTTTTGTGTGTGTATGAGCAAGTGTACATATGCATGAAGAAGTGTGTGTGTGAATGATTGTGTATGTACATGTGTGAGTGAGTGTATGAATGTGTATGTACATGCGTGAGTGAGTGAGAGACTTGTGGATTATGAAGTGTTGACCCTTATGGTCTCTGGGAGGCTACCATTTTGGTTGGATGAATTACCTGTTCCAGGAAGAGGAAGGATCAATGCTGGTTACACCAAAAGTGACAGTAACTATCTTCTTTTAGGGGAGGGAGAGAGAGAGAGAGAGAGAGAGAGAGAGAGAGAGAGAGAGAGAGAGAGAGAACATCATTGTAATAAGGTTTACACATGGCCGTGCTTGTGTCATTATTTAAACATTATTCTAACCAATGTCATAGAAATGTGACTTAGAAAATGTTAAGGCAAAAAAGAAACAGTCAATACAAAAGTAAGCAATACTTAGCACTATATGACCCATATAAACATTGATGTGCTATTTTTTTTATTTTTTTTACTTAGAAACTAATTAAAATAATCTGCACTTAGAAAATAGAAGATATACCTGCCTAAAAGAGTTAGACATTTCTCAGCAGTGCCTAAGGTTCAAACACAAGTAAAACTAGGATTTTGAATGCTGATTTTCTTGGCAGGCAGGCAGGCTCCCCCCTACTTAAAAAAAAACAGCATAGTATGATCTTATTACCTCCATTTAGTGTAATGCTATAACTTCTATATGCTGCATCCCTTCAGGACACAGGGTGATCATGGCCCTCCAAAACAACCTATCTATTGTAGTCCTTAGCAGTTTTTCTCCCTTTGCTAAGGCAAGTTCCACCACCCATTCACACTGTCTATCTCTCTTGCTCTTAATATACCTTGTGAGTGTTAAATTTTCCAAGCCCTCCTTCCTTGTTACTCAATCCATCCATGAAATTCTATATATGGCAGCAGTACTCTATTTTCGG